AAATTACATAATCTATAATATATAAAACATTGTAATTTTGTAATTAAATATAGATAAACTTTATATAAATATTTAAATATTAATCTTTATTTTGTTTAATAACTTAATAGTTATTTATTTATTATTAATTATATATTTCAATAAAAGTATTATCTGTTTAATAATAATAATAACATTATATTTATAATTAAAGTTATTAAACAGTTATAAATTATAAATTTAAGTAATTTTTTAGAAAATAAATTAAAGTAAAATTTTAATAGAAATAAATTATATAATTTAATAACAAAATTATTAAACAATTTAGAAAATAATTAATTAATTAAAAATTAGAAAAAAACATTAATAAAACAAAATCTAAATTAATAAATAATTATTTTTTTTTATTATAATTCATGTTAATTAGCATGGTAAAAAAAATTAATGTTAATATACAATATATTTATAGTTAAACAAACAAATTAATTAATTAATTATATTATATAATAATTAAATAAATAATTATTTTTTTATTATAATTCATGTTAATTAGCATGGTAAAAAAATAATTAATGTTAATATACAATATATTTATAGTTAACCAAACAAATAAATAAATAATTATATTATATTTTTAAAAATAATAATTAAAAAATAAATTAAAATATCAATTGTTTTAGTAAATAATTAATAGTATCTCTCTATGGTGTTGGCCATCGCTATGATCACAAATGTGGACATTATTTATATATATATATTTGTTGTTTGTTTACAAACGTTATTAATGTTTTGGAAATACATTGAAATAATAAACAAAACCAAAACTAGCGGTCAATTCATTGCAAACACAAAACAAAAAAAAACATTTTTTTTTGTGTTGGACTTTACACCCGACGGGTCATTACATTACTGACCATCAGTGGCCACATCGCAACCGCCGCCGACACACAATGACCGTATTTCATTATATGCCGTCGGAGATTGCCCGACTTGTATTAGGTTTGTTGGCCACTGTTTTTTTTGCGGCCGTATTTTTTTAGTATCTATTTTGCCGCCACTTTTCATCCTATTGTTTGTCCACCCGATTGAATGATCGGTTAGGCTATCTTCGGGAAGTCCAGTGTCCGCTAACCGAACGCCAGTTTGTCGACGAATGCCGACATTTGGCCGAATACGCTGTCGGCCTACGTCACGGCCGCCAATACTCGACCAATATTGACGGGAAATCGTTGGCCGACATTATCGACGGCTATAGCGAAGCGGTCAACAACAAGACCACTGCCGATGCAGCCGCCGATAGTCAACCTCAAGTCCAGCCACCACTACAGCCGCCGCAACCGATAGTCTGCGACACATCGGAGACCATCGAAGCGGTCGGCAAAACGTACGATGAGATACAACGACTGTCCAGACAGTTGTCCAAAATGGAAACATTGTTGAGCCGATTGAATCAATCGGTGGCCGCAAATCATCGACAAGTGATGATCAATGCGGCCAACAATCTTAACAACAATAGCCACTATCGGATAATACCGTCGCCGTCGTCGGTGTCCACTTCTAGTCCCTATTACGCGACCTCAGTTGACACACCCGTAGCCACACCGAACCCGGCCTACTTGTCGTCGTCGTCTGCGGCGACAATGATTACCGAAACGCCGCACAAACAAACAGCTAATACGCCGTCGAAACAGTTGTCAACAGCAGTAACGCCGCGCCGCAAGAGTACACCGCGACGTCTGGCCAATGGTTTGTCGCCGTTTAGGTCGCCGATGTTATCCGCATTGAATTCCAGTTACAATAATAACAGTTCCGGCGGCGACTATTCAGATCATACGCTGGTGGACAACAGCGACCAAATCGACCGAAGCGATGTCCAATTGCAGATGGATATCAACGAACCGCTGGTTCAGCCGGAGTTTATTGTCGAAGAATTACTAAATTTCGAGCCATTGCACGATATTTTGGCCGAAAATATCAATAAAATATTTGCCGCAACAAACAGTAATGATGGACACCATCATCACCAGCAACAACACCAACATAACCGAGAGGTAGCCATAAGACAGTCAAATACGAGTGATAATCATCATCGACAACAACAACAACAACAACAACAATCATCTCAAGACAACAATAACTACGAACAGCCGCCAGAGATACATATCAACGAAAGCGATATGACCAACATATTGGCCAACTTGGAAACGGCACCCGAATTCAATGCCATTCTGGATATTATTACCGAAAAAGAGCTACAAATGACACCCTATAAGGACTTGTCGAGTGTTGAAACGTCTGGCGGATCGTCAACTGTGTCCTCATTGAACACACCGAAGACACCGCAGCAGCAGATGATGCTATTGTCTTCATCGTCAGTACATAAACGTCATAATCATCAACAGTCGTCCAACTCTGTGGTCAAAAATTTGATGACCGATTTGAGTACACCAGAGAAACAACAGCACACTATAACACTGTACGCTGCGTCGGCTGCTTCCCGTAGTCCAGTGGTTAGTAGGAGTAGTGGCGGCGGCAAACCGCGGCGTATGATGACTCCCGTAAAGTTGACGCCCGTCAAACTGATGCGCAGCGATATGATGTCCACTACTAACGCAACCGCCGCTGCCGCCACTGATGACTATCATAATAGTATACCACCAATGATTATACCGTTGACTGGCGACGATTACAATCTGATCCAGAGTTCCCTAACCAATGGTACGATTACTTCGTACTCGCTGTCGACTACGGCATCGGTATCGGCTTCGGCCTCGTCAGCGATGTTCAGCCGAAAAGGCGGCGGCAAAAATGTCAACTTTACAAAGTCGGCGTCCGATCTGCAAGTGATTAAGTCATCCACGACGACTACGGCGACCGCCGCCGCCACCCGTCAAGAGATGCTACCGCCCAGAAAAATATTGCCAAAATTGCCGCCGACATTGGCCGTCACCGCCACCACCACTCAGCAAACATTACCGCCGACAACAACAGTGATTCCCGTTTACGATGTTATTAGTCCGCAAGCGGTCAGCATTATAGTCAACAACGATAACAACAACAGTGCTGCGGGAAATGTCGTACAAATTAACGGCGCGTCCGCTACTATAGCGGCCGCGGCCAACGTTGTTGACCACCAACAACAACAACAACAGGTTTCGCAGATATCTAAACAAAAATCTTTTAGTCATCAACAGCAACAACAACAACACCAACAAAATCATAACAAACAACAACAACAACTACAGTCACGGATGACGACGACAACGAAGGATAATAATAATAAAAATACCGGTAATTATAGCCATAAGCGACACAATACTAGTAGCGATTCGGTGACCAATAATTCCGATGGTAGTCGACGTAGTAGTGGTGGTAGTAGTGAACCGCCGGCCAAAGTTCGGGTTAGTTATTATTATTATTATTACCGATAATTGATTGATTGATTGATTTAATTTTATTTTGTTTATTAGGCATCCGATAGACATTTGCCATCAGTTAATATATTAAGGAAAATGAATGCAACGAATATGAATAAAGTGCTCAAAGATTTTCATTCATCGAGAAAATCAAAATAATTTATTTTTAATTTTTTTTTGTTGGTTTTAATTAGTTTTTTTTAAGTACCGGTAGTTTTTAAGCCAACCAAACAAACAAAAATTATATACCATTTTGTTGTTGTTGTTGTTATTACCGATTATTATTAATACCGTAATAATTGGTATTAATTTTTTTTAGGGAACCGGTAATTAATATTAGGCTAAATTGTATTACCGTTAGTTAAGATTTTATTTATTTTTTTTAAAAAATATGTAAATTATAATTAAAACATAATTAATTTAAATTTACCAGGTGATTTTTTTAATTTAAATATATTTTTTTATAATTACCGGTAATTTTTTATTTTTATTTCTAACTGTTATATATATATAAAACATTTGTAAATATAATTTCATTTTAAGTATTGTATTATAAATTTTTTAATTCATATATAATTCATAATAAGTGAAACAATAGGTTAACAATAATTTATTATTCAATATATATTTATATATATTTTTTAAAAAAGATTTTCACATTTATTTGATTTGTTTTGTGTGAAACTTATTATTATTATTATTATTATTTAAATTTGATATAAAACTAATCTCATTTTAACAATTAGAAAACTTGTATATATTTTTTTATTAAAAAATAAAATAAAAACTGTTAAATATATAAATGTATAAAATTTTTTTGATATTTTGCACACAAAATACTTTATATTTTAATATATATATAAATTACATATTATATAATAAATATATATTTAGTTGTAAATTACATTTACATTTAAATTAAATATTATTTAATAATAATTAAAACAAAACAATCAGTTAATTACTTAACACATAGTATTACTTAACAGGCGTTTAGTAATCTCCTGGACCAGCGATTGGACAACCGTTTCGGTATCGGCACTGATATCCTGTACTATAATTGACGGTTCCATCAGGGGATCCGGTACTTCCAGTGTCTGCCATTGGCTGTCCAACATTTTCGTGGCCATAAAATGATCGGTACGTTCAATCATACGGCTCTCTATTAACTTATACGTACCTTTCAAATAGACAAACTGTACACTAATGGTGGTACTATCGGTCAGCAGCAGCGGGACATCCCTAAGCAGATCACGATAGCAACGTTTCAATGCCGAACAAGTAACTACTATTATGTCCGATTTGTCCAATTGGTGACGGCCAACACCGCTGGCCGCTTGGATTTTACGGGCCTCGGCTACATACGTATCACGAATCTCCGTCAACCAACCCCAACGATCCCCGTCGGTAAGCGGTATACCGGCCGACATTTTCTGGACATTGGCTTCCGGGTGCAGTCGATCGCCTTCAATGTAATGGCACCCAAATTCCTTGACCAGTGCCTCGGCGTATGTAGTTTTACCGCAACCGCACGTTCCCATCAATATGTATACCGGTATGCATTCAATAGTCATTTTCACAATTTATGATTATATCATATATTAAGTTATGATATGTTTTGTGGAAACTAATTATATATATTTGAAACTAATTATTTAGGATATACTGTACACAACAACAACAACAACAAAAATTAATCAATTAATTAATTAAATAGTTAATCACAAATACAAAAAAAATATTGATTTTTAAAAAATAATAATAATTTCATATTTGTTTGATTTATTTGAAGTATTTTTTTTGCCGACAGATATATACCGGTATATAATGTGTGATAAATATTGTATAATAAATACTGTATTCGTATTTTAAAATATTATATTATATATCAAGTATTTAAGTTGATTGAAAGCCAATCACTATTTTTATCACACATTAGTTTAGTTTAATTTGTGTTAATAAGTGTTTATTTAAAGTGCTGTTCAAAAAAAAAATTATTTTAACAATTTTTTTTAATAGTTATGTTATTATATTAAATACTTAAGTGTTATTATTATTAAAATGTGTTATAATTTATATATATATATATATATATATATATATATATATATATATATGCTCTCAATGTTATATCAATAAAAAAAATACTATAAAATAAATCGATATATGATTTTCAATGTAATCTCATAGAAGGGGACATAATTCACACTATAATTATTAATTAATTATATTTATAATATAAAAAAAATTGTTATCAAATAAAATAAAATCTAAACTTTAATTTCTGATTGATTTTGAATTTTTTTTAATCAAAAAATTTGTTGAACTTTTTATTTAAAATACATTTATTTAATTTATTTTTATTTATTATAAAATAGTGTTTTATTTATCATATGTAGTCTTAGGCGTTAACATTAATATATATTAAAAGCATATATAATATAATATAATAAAAACATATTAACATATTTATAATAATAATAATAATAAAATTAATTTTATGGGTTGTTATTACTATTACCTGTAAATTATAAATAATTTTTTATGTAAACAATTTTATATACGTATTAAAACTATTTATATTAAAATACATAATAATAATAAACTGTATTTATTAAACATTTATTATTATTATTCATCATTGTATTCAACAACAAAAAAATTATCTAGGTTATATTTAAATAATAACTAAATTATAATTTATTATTATTATTATTTTACAATAATATGTCAACAAATTTCACACACAAATCAATTTAATTTCATAAATCAATTTATTATTATTATTAATAAAAATCACACTTTTTTAATATGTGTATTAAAAATATGTCATAAAAATTATTATATTATTAAAAATAATTTTATTTTATTTATTTTTTAGTTTCACTTTTCATTCTCAATGTTAAACAACATTGCAATTGACTTTAAACTTATCTGAAAAACTTGTTATTTTAATGTAATTATATTATTATTTAAGTTTTTTTTATATCATTATTACTATTTATATTAAATACAGTATTATTACTAATATACATGTTATTTAAAAAAATTACAAATAATTTATGACTACCTAATTATTTTACAACAACAACAAAATAAATTTATTAAATGATTATCACATTTAATAATCGTTCGACTAATTGAATGTTATTATAAATATTATTATTATTATTATAATAAAAATATTTCATAGCTTATCAATAATAACTTTATATACAAACCGTAACCGTAAACTACAAATTAATTGATAATAATAATAATTATTATTATATTTTTATCATATTATATAATCATTATTTGTATTTCAATTCAAAAAAAAACTATACAAAAAACTAATCTGAAATGATATATGAGATATGAGATATACAATGATATATTAGTTTGAAAAAACAAACAAATAAAAACTTATTAAATGATTTTTATTATTGTTATTATTGTTATTTTTTATTTGATATTTAATTTTTTTCTACTATTAAATAATATAATACAATAATATCCCGGAAGTATTTAAACTAAATAAATAGATTTAAAAAAATATATATATAATTCAAAATAAAACTATTTTCTAATTGTTATTTGTTTAACCAAAAAATAGAGATTAAGTATAATATAATAATTGTGACATAAAATTATTAGATAATAACAAATAATAATATCATTAATAGATAGAGACAATGAATAATAGGGTTTATATATATTTATATATATTATATCTTTCCTTAATTATAAACCACAAAAAAATAAAACTTTAACCTAAAATAACAGTTGAATTTTCTATAATACATATATGGTATCAAAAAATACAAATAATAATAAAAATAATTATTATTATTCATAAGTTTATTTTTATAATACAAAATAAAACTACAAAATAATAATAAAATTTAAATTAAAAATAAAAAGTTTTCGACACTTAAAAGGATTGTTTGTCTAAATATTTATTAATACAATGGGAATAATAAATATATTATTTATATATAAATTATTTAAAAAGTTTTATAGTATTATATTATATACATTAGGTGTATCACTAATTTTTTTTTTAAAAAGCTAACATTTATTTTTTAATTTTATTTTTATAGTAAAAMTATTTATTTATTATTTAGTTTTTAATTACAAAATTAAAATCTAAATTATTTTAACACACATTTTATTATATATATATATATGTATTACTCTATAGATATATAATAATTTGTTGTTATCAACAAATATTATCAACAACAACAACAACGATATAAAAAAAATTACATTAAATTTAATATATTTTTTACAACAAAAATGTGAATTAATATTTTAATTTTTTTTTCATATTTAATTCATTACATATATATATATATATGATATAATTAAAATAAATGTTTGATAACAACAACTAAAACTACTAAAAAAGATTATAATGTAATTAATTTCAAGTGTGTTGTAATTAGATATATATATATATATATATATATATATATATATATATATATATATATATATATATATATATATACATATATTAATTATATAAATTTACAACCAAAAAAAATTGTAATATAGTTTATATACATTATCTTAATATTTTTAAACCAAAAAAAAATTTTTTTTTGATACTATGTTTGATAACTATTTTTTTATTTTAAAAAAATGAGAATAAATTAATTAATTGATATGAAAACTACTAATATATAGAAAACAAAATTATATACCGGTATTTAATCTTAATTATTAATTTTATATATAAATTATTATTATTATTATCATCATCAAGGCTAAACAATTAACCAAGGCAAACATTTTGATAAAAATTTTTTTGGCAAACAATATATATATATATATATATATATATATATATGTATTACAATCGCATAATCAAATAATTTTATATTTTTCAATTGACAATAAATATTTCAAATATTTGATAAAGAGTTTGAATTTATTTTTTAAAAATTATAATAAAATAAATAAGTTATAAATTTAAGTATTTGTTATACAAATTGATAAAATAATTCAAATTAATTACAAAATTAATTGAATTTAGAATTTTATTATAGATAGAGTTAARTAATATTTCAATTTTTTTTATAGATTTAATATATTTATTAATTGAAAAATTTACACTATTTTAATATATTTAAATATTAAAATAAAAATGTTACTAAATAAATAATTTTTTTATTATATTATTTTTTATATCAAATTATATAATTAATATAAATAAAAAACAAAAATTTATTTAATTATATATAAATCTATTAAAAATAATTTGTTCACAATTAGCTATTTTGTAAAAAAAAATATTAAAAATAACAATTTTTTTAAATACTATAATAATTAACAAGTAATTCAAGTTAAACTATAAAAACAAAAAAATTCAGATAAAAAATAATAACATTATTTTTAATTTACGGGTCATTTAACTTTATGTTTGATTAAATATTATAAAAACACACTTTTATAAAAAAAAAAAAAATAATAATATTGAATTTAAAATAATTTTTTATATTATACAACAACAAAAAATTAAAATAAAATAAACACTTATACAATGTAAGGAACTTAATAAAAAAATATAATACAATAATAGGTTATAATAATAATAATAATTTTAAATAAAAAAAACTTATTTTTTTATATAAAAACAATAATTTATTATTTTTTCAACAAAAAAAAACAGACAGACAGACAAACAAAACATTTAAAAACTACTTAAATATATGTATTTAAAAAAAATGTAAATAAAATTTAAAAAAAAAAAATAAATGTCTGACCGAAACACTTGTCTTCAACAACAAAAAAATCTTCAAAATTTTAATTCAAAAAAATTTCAAATCAATTCAAAACCATTCCTCTGGATATCAATTAAATGAATCCAAAAATCAAAAATCAAAACTTTAGTCCAAAAAAAAATATCTTATTTTTTGTTTGTGTTAATAAAAATTATTATTATTATTATTATTATTAAATTAATTAATTAATTAATTAATTAATTAAATTATATTATATTAATTAAAATCTTCTCGGTCGACTAGTGGCCGGAATTGTGGCATTAGTATTGATCCGATTGCGGCCACCATTATAGCCGCTGCCGACGCCGCCACCGAACCGTCTACGGGACGACTCGGTCGTAGTGGACGTCGGACTAGGGGTCGGCTGTGAGCCGATACCCGATCGGCTATTATTATTACTATTATTATTGGTCACTTGATTTCGGTTGCGTCCAATACCGCTAATACCACGGCGATCGCCTAACGGCGATCGGGTAGTCGTACTGCTGGTCGTACTGGTCCTGGACGGTACGGCTGTCCGCTGATTGAATCGTTGATTTTGGACGGCCAACGACTGGGGCGACGGTGTCGACGGCTGTACCCGTACGGCCGGCTGTGTATTCTTGATAAACGGCGGTAAAGTTGGCTTAGCTTTTGAGGCAAATTTCGGTAGAAATGGTGACGCCTGCTGTTGGGGTGTCTGCAGTTTGCGACGCGGTTTGAATAGTTGAGTAAAACGATCTTCGGTGAAATTGGTGGCCGCTTTTGGCTGCTGTTGCTGCTGGCCATCGGCTTTAGTCGAGTTGGCGGCTCCCGAGGCGGCCGCAGCAGCTTTAGGTGCATTAGGATCGCCGG